TCGATACTTTGTTTTTAGAGTTTTGTAAGATTGAAGATTGTCTTCCACCTTTTGTTGAAGTTATAAACTCTTATCTTTTCTATTCATTTTATCTATGGAATTTCCTATCTCACTTGCTGTTGTTTGATTCACCATGTGCGAGTAGTCTCCCAAATTAGGTTAAGGGTTCGATGGGATTAGGGATTCTCGAACTAAGCATAGATAGGTTTTGAAANATATTTGATATNTTCATCTATTGTTGGTCGTAATGCCTAGACTAGCTTGATCACCTAGCTTTTGATTTTAGGTTTAGTTTATTCATCAAAAATGTTGTGAATTGCTTGAATTAACATAGATAGGCGATTCGTCCTTAGCCAACGACAGTTGAAGTTAAGGCGAGTCGTGAACAAATCGATCCTATCCTCTTTAATGCTCATCATTCTTTGTAATCTCAAACGACAGTTTAGGGTGTTAGATTGATTGATGAAGTAGTTGATGCCACGACAGTGGATCCTCTTAATTTTATGGTCGAGTTCTAGATTGGTTCGTAATTGATAACCTGAATAATTGCTTGGTTCTAGATGATCCAATCTCTGAGATACTTTCCCTTGACCTAACGTTTTTAATATCATTTGTTTACACCGAAATTACTTTAATTGCTTGATTAATCGTGACAAATTAAACCATTTTGATCACTTAGCTGAATTTGTATCCCATAGGATTAGAGTGTATTGATGGTCCCTTTGAACGAACCTAACTATTCTGCATCGAATTAGTGATTCTAGGTTTGACTCATAAACCGGACAAAAATCCTTTCATTAATTATCTAAACTTTACATTTAATTTGATCGAGAAAAGAGAAAACAGAGCTTCACGGGATGGAAAACAGAACATCCTTAGCCCACATAGAATCGACTTGATTTCATTGAGATTAAACTTGATTTGGATTTAGCTTAATGAAGAGTCTAGAAATCTCTAGAAACATTCAAAATCTCATCACCTCCTTAAGTGTTTCTAGAAAATTATTTAGGATAAGAAAATCTTGTAGAATACTCTAGAGATTGATAATGTTGTAGAATACTCTAGACATTGTAGAGAACTCTAGGAACTTGTAAAATATCTATGAAGTAAGGAGGTTAGTAAGAAGGTTATTGTAAGGAAGTTACAATAATCTAGACTTATTTTGTAAGAGATCTTTGGGAGCCTATAAATAGCTCTCCACCCCTCTCATTTGTAATATAACAACAACAACAAATACAAGAAAGTTGAACAAGTAATAAAAATAAAGTTCTTTCATATTTCTTCATCATATTTAGAGAGTTTTTTTTGTTTTTTTTCAAGTTTTTCGGGTATTACGGTCTTGGACTAGTGCTAAACACTATTATAAATTTTCTCTACAGATTTGATCGAAAAAGAGAAAACAAAGACCAAGAACTGTTTTGTTTCCAAGTAAACGCAACTTTTTCCTCACAAATACATTACAAAACCACTCTGTCTCTGCATTTTACAAAAGGAAACACTAAGGAAAAAGAAGAAATATATATATTTTTGAGCAAATGATAAAAAAAAAACATGAGTTCTAATAAAACTTTTTCACTTTTGATTCTATTCTCTCTTCTACTTTTGTTGATCTTTGATTCAGCTGCTCTCACAGCTTTGAAGTCTTGTCCAAGCGATTGTGGAGCAATTGAGATACTCTACCCATTCGGTATCGGAAAAGGCTGCTATCTTGAGAAATGGTACGAAATTAATTGTACCTCTGTTTCAGGGAAGCTCGTCCCTTTTCTTTCCGTAGTTAGCAAGGAAGTTGTGAAAATCTCTCTTCCGGGTGAATTCAGTTGGGGTTCCGCTCCCCTCTCGTACGGGTCAGTTCGCATAAAAAAACCCGATAACTTCCCAAGGATGCTCAAGAGTCTAGATCACTCTTGAATTTGATAGGGAGCCCTTTCTATGTTGGTTACAGTAATACACTGATAGCCATTGGTTGCAACAACATGGCGTCCTTGACACACGTCGAGCCGAGCATGGTGGGATGCATCTCGAGTTGCCTCGCTACAAACCGTACTACTACTAGTTCAAAAGATTATCTCGCACTAGTCGATTGTAATAGTAAAAAAAACTACGAGTATTGCAGTCAAAGAAGCTTCAAAAATGAAACAATCTGCAACAATGGTACTGGATGCTGCATGGCTAACATGCCCGGTAGTATTCAACAGGTCTTTGGTGTCAGAATCGCCACGACAGAAGGAGGGTGTAAAGTTGCTTTCTTAACAGATGAGGCATACTCTTTGTTAAATGAAACTGATCTAAATGGAACTGATCCGAACCAGTTTCATGCGAAAGGATATGCTACGGTTGAGCTAGGATGGTTCATCCATACGACGAATCGGTTTTTTGTAAAGTCTTTGAGATGCACAACTATGAAAGAGTACCGAAGTCTATATGTGAAGTCATATGAAAAGGCTCACCGAATAAATTGTTCATGCGATTATGATTCTTATTTTCCTAACCATGCAAGTTGTAGATGCAATATAAGGGTTACACAGGCAACTCGTACCTTCCAGGCGGATGCAAAGGTTAGTAATTGTGTTTATTTATATCTCTATGTTTTTATTCAAATCTTCTATGATCATATAAGCAATAAGTATTACAGAATCTGCATAACTTTTAGGATACTGCATATAAGTTTTTGGGCAAATTTTTTTTTCAGAATCTGCATAACTTCTATATAATATCTTGTGTTTTTGTTAACTGCACATGGGTTGTCCAAAACATAGAATCATTGATCAATCTTATACTCAAAAAAATATCTTTTACTTTTCCTGATTTTTGGTTTTGTGATCAAAACAAATAACATGTAATAAAAAACTGGGTCTTTGAATTATTGGGCTTTATTTTTTCTTTCAACCCATTATAGGTTTTCTGTAGCTCAATTTTATTACCAGATTTACT